ATCTGATCTCTGGGACTTTGATGAGCAAACATGGTTTTGCAATCAACTTCGAGTCTGACCAGCTGATACTTAGGAAAAATAGTGTTTTCATTGGAAAAGGTTATGTTAAGTCAGGATTGATCAAAATATCTGTAATGACAATCTTGAAGAAAAACAAAGTTGTACCTGATTCCAAAGATTTAATTAATAAGAATCCAGTTGCTTATGTGGTTGAGTCTTCTAATATTTGGCATGAACGTTTAGGACATGTCAATTACAAGTCTATTCAAAGACTGATGAATTTGAACATGATTCCAAAATGCAAAATTAGCAAAGACAAATGTGAAATTGGTGTCCAAGCAAAGCTCACGAAAACACCATCACCTCATGTTGAAAGAACTACTGAACCTCTTGGATTAATCCACACTGATATGTGCAATTTAAAATATCTACCATCAAGAGGTGGTAAAAAGTATTTTGTAACTTTCATTGATGATTGTACAAGATACTGCTACGTATACTTGTTGCGTAGTAAAGATGAAGTCTTGGACAAATTCAAAGAGTACAAACTCGAAGTTGAAAAACAACTGGAAAAGACCATAAAAATGGTTAGAAGTGATAGAGGTGGAGAATATGATGGACCATTCAATGCGTTTTGTCAGTTAAACGGCATTATCCATCAAATTACAGCCCCCTATTCACCTGAATCCAATGGAGTTGCAGAAAGAAAAAACCAAAATCTAAAAGAGATGAAGAATGCAATGTTGCAGGAATCTGGGACACCCCAGAATCTGTGGGGGGAAGCGTTGCTCACCACAAATTATATCCTCAACAAAAATACCTCATAAGGGTAACTGGCAAAAAGTCCGTATGAGCTTTGGAAAGGTAATGTACCTTCGTACAAATACCTCAAAGTGTGGGGGTGCCTAGCAAAAGTCGCAGTGCCACTTCCAAAGAAGGTCACAATCGGACCTGAAATTGTGGACTGTATCTTTATCGGATATCCTCACAATAGTAGTGCTTATCGATTTCTGGTACATAAGTCAGATGTATCAGACGTCCAAGTGAATACTATCATGGAATCAAGGAATGCATCATTCTTTGAACACATATTTCCATATAAAGATAAGCAAACTACTAAACGCACTCGTGAAGAAAGAGATGCAACTACTTCTGTAAATGAGATGGAAGTAGAACAAGTTAAAGATGAACCTAGACGCAGCAAAAGAGCTCGTAAGAAAAAATCTTATGGTGAAGATTTCACAATGGTCTTTCTTGTTGAGAATGAACCGAGATCTTACCCAGAAGCCATGTCTACACCAGAAGCTCCTTATTGGAAGGATGCAGTCAATAGTGAGATGAACTCTATAATGCAGAATCATACCTACGAGTTAACTGACTTACCTCAACGGTTCAAAGCACTAGGGTGTAAATGGATCTTCAAGACCAAGCTGAAAGCTGATGGTTCTATAGATAAGTGCAAGGCACGCCTTGTGGTGCAAGGATTCAGACAAAAAGAAGGTCTAGATTTTTTTGACACCTATTCTCTAGTTACGAGAATAACTTCTATCAGAATATTGATTGGTGTAGCACCTTGCGAGGTTTGGAAATCCATCAAATAGATGTTAAAACTGCCTTTCTAAATGGAGATTTAGAAGAAGAAATATACATGAAACAACCCGAAGATTTCGAGGTTAAGGGTCAATAACAAAAAGTGTGTAGACTCGTGAAATTATTGTATGGACTGAAACAAGATCCAAAACAATGGCACGAAAAGTTTGACAATGTGATGATGTCAAATGGTTTCAGCATTAATGAATGTGATAAATGCATCTACTACAAATGTACTCCAAACGGATACATCTTGCTATGTCTGTATGAGGATGACATGTTGATTATTGGCAGTAACAAAGATATCATTCAACAAACCAAGAACATGCTCAATGGAAAATTTGACATGAAGGACATGGGACTTGCAGATGTCATTCTTGGGATTAAGATCATTCGGAGTTCAGATGGAATTACTCTGTCTCAAGATCACTATGCTGAAAAGATCCTAAAGAGGTTTAAGACCTTCTCGAATGGAACCGCAAAAACTCCAATGGATATGCAAGCTCACCTAACCAAAAACACAGGTGAACCAGTATCACAGGTGGAGTATGCACGGGTAATTGGAAGTTTGATGTACTTGACCAATTGTACAAGACTCGATCTAGCTCATGCGGTAAACGTGTTAAGTAGCTACACAAGTAATCCAGGTCATACTCATTGGAAAGCAATAACTAGAGTGTTGAACTATTTGCGATACACTAAGAGTTATGGGCTGCACTTTGGTAAAGAACCAGCAGTGTTAGAAGGGTACAGTGATGCCAATTGGATTTCAGATTCTAGAAATTCCAAATCCACAAGTGGATATGTCTTTACACTCGCTGGAGCAGCAGTATCCTGGAAATCTTCCAAACAGACACTCCTGGCCCGATCAATCATGGAGTCAGAGTTCATAGCTTTAGACAAAGCAGCCGAAGAAGCAGAGTGGCTTCGGAACGTCCTGGAAGACATCACGATGTGGGAAAAACCAGTGCCAGCATTACGTGTACACTGTGATAGTCAGTCGGCTATCTCTCGGGCACTGAATAATCTGTATAATGGCAATTCTCGTCACATACGAAGACGACATAAGACCATTAGGCATCTGATCTCAAGTGGTGTACTCACGGTTGATTACATCAAGTCAGCGGAAAGTTTAGCGGATCCATTCACCAAAAGCTTGCCGCGAGATCAAATCATTAAATCATCTAAGGGAATGGGCTTATTGCCTATCACAAAAGAGGATGTTTGATGGAAACCCCACCTACACGATTGGAGATCCCAAGAGGTTGGTTCAAAAGGACAACTAAATCAAGCAGAATCTGAGAAAAGCACTGTAAAATGCTCAATTTCCATGATGATAAACAGTGCTTCCTGTAATTATGTAAGGTTAAGCTTTATGGCTTTTAATGAGATAAGACCATAGCCTTCATATACATGTATATAGAGTATAACAGGATACCTTCTGTGTATGTGACAGGTACTTGGCAATCACCTAGTGAGTGTGAAATGAGGCCGTTTCTAGGAGAATGAAGACAAGGCTATACTCTCCAAGTTCACTCATGATAAACCAGGCATGTTCAAGGCCAAAATGAACACAATAGAGAACTGAAATCTACGAGAAGACGAAACTGGGTTATATATGTTGTCTCGGTTTACACAAAAATCCGGGTGGTTCAAGACATCATGTTTACCTCCTGGCTGAGTAAATCCGACAAATGTAACAATGAGTGGTTCAACGCTGAAATATGCTACTACCTGAGATACAATTAGTTTTCGTTTATACTCTTGAAAAGTTCCTCAGTCGAGTCTGTAGTCTAGTTTGAGTCTAGTCTGCATAAGTTTATCGAGTCTGCATATGTTTAGAGTAATTTCTATTCATGTGGGGGATTGTTGGAACTATTTTTTATAAAGCTTGCGGGCTTATAAAATTGTTTATGTATGAATTGAAATGAGGCCTTATGGCCCAGTAGAAAACCTTGTAATAAAGGAAATAACCTTTTAAAAAGAAAAAAGGAAAACCTTGTACAAAGGAAAACCTTGTAAAAAGGAAAACCCTTGTAAAAAGGAAAACCTTTGTAAAAAGGAAAACCTTTGTAAAAAGGAAAATCATTGTGAATGAAAAGGAAAAAAGGGACATGTAAAAAATCCCACATTGGTAGTTGGAAAAGTTTTCCACTATGATCTTCTACTATAAATACATAGCCTCTCTCTTGAGAAAAAGGCATCCAGTCGAATCCAAACAGAAAAAAAAAACCACACAGAAAAACAATAGTTTCTAGCAAATCTCTCTTGTCTTAATATAGTAAGTGTCTCAAAAGTTATAGCGTAGTTATTTCAGTTTGCAGATTCTATTATGGGTGTTGCATAATAGTCTTATCACGGTTTTATCCTGGGATTCAAAAATCGCAACAAACCGTCACACATTACAGGCGATTTATTGAGTTAAGGAAAGAGATCAAATCTCGACTCCGTATTAGTCAGTGTTTTTTCAAATCGGTTTTCAAAGTCTCGTTTTCATACGCTTTCCTTATGATATCGTTTATAATTTCATTAATTTACTTCGTGATTTCAATTCGGATTTTTGCGGTCTTACAATCTTAACTCAATAAATCCGCTTCCTGCTTATCGCTTGAATCGGATTGAATTTGCGAAAAATATTTATAAACGATTTTGAAAACGAGTTTTCAACGTTTGATTTAGACGAATCTGTGAAACGATTTACGTGGTAGTCTCAGACAGGTCCGCGAAACGTTTGACGAGTTCTAAGAACACCTGTTGGTGAATTCTGTGGAAACTCACAGCGAATTCCTTTCGGGAAAAACGCTGTTTAAAGCGACTTAAACGTTTTAATCGCTGATTTGAATCTTGGTTCTCAATACTAACTTTGGTTATTGTTTGTGAACAGATTCAACTATGACTAACGGTGATATCAACATGACTACCAATGGAAGCTCGGGTGAAGCCAGGATGCCAGCATCGATAATCGCGGGAGTTCAGCCCGACAAGTTCGATGATTCGAACTTCAAGCAGTGGCAAGAAAGGATGCACTTCTTTCTGTCGTCAATGCAGCTGAGCAAATACCTCACAGAGGATCCCCCAAAGGTTCCAGAAGGGAACAAAGATCCTATAATTCTGGCTACTGTTGACGCATGGAAGTACTCAGACTTCCTATGCAAAGGCCACATCAAAAATCGCTTGGTGGACCAGCTGTTCGATGTGTACAGCGAGGTTAAAACTTCCAAAGAACTATGGGATGCTTTGGAAAAGAAATACAAATCGCACAATGTCGGATCTGGGAAATTTGCAACAGCAAAACTTCTCAAGTTCGAAATGGTGGATTCTCTCCCCATCATGCCTCAAGTGCACGAGCTGGAACTAATCTTTCAAGAGATTAGAACTGAAAGAATGAAGCTGTGTGAGACATTCACGGTAAACTGCTTCATTGAGAAGTTATCCCCAAGTTGGGCAGACTTCCAAAACTATTTTGCTTACAAGCAAAAGGCCCTGTCTCTGGTAAATCTGATTTCCAGATTGCAGAATGAGTCACTAAACGTGACAGAGTTGGAAAAGAAGATAGTCAGATCATGATCCATGATGCAAACATGGCTGAATACAAGAAAAAGGGCAAAGGCAAACCATTCAACAAGGGTACGCCTAACAAGTTTCCTCCACGAAACAACACTAGCTTCAAGAAGCAAGGTCAAGCACTCATGAAGAACAAGTTCAATGGGAAGTGCAACTACTGCAACAAGCTGGGACATAAGTCTTCAGAGTGTCGTCGAAAGGCTAAGTCTGAGAACAATCAAGCTAACTTGACTGAAACAGACCTGTGTGCAATGGTTACAGAGGCTAACTTGGTGGAAGAAAACCCCAAGGCGTGGTGGTATGACACAAGTGCTACCACACACATCTGTATTGACTGAGAGATGTTCAGTACCTATCAGTAGTGCAAAACTAAAAAATAATAGCTTCTAGCAAATCCCTCTTGTCTTAATATAGTAAGTGTCTCGAGAGTTATAGCGTAGTTATTTCAGTTCGCAGATTCTATTATGGGTGTTGCATAATAGTCTTATCACGGTTTTATCATGGGACTCAAAAATCGCAATAAACCATCATACATTACGGGCGATTTATTGAGTTAAGGAAATAGATCATATCTCGACTCCGTGTTAGTCAGTGTTTTCAAATCGGTTTTCAAAAGTCTTGTTTTCATACGCTGTCATTAAGATATCGTTTATAATTTCATTAATTTACTTCGTAATTTCAATTCGGATTTTCGCGGTCTAACAAAAATAACACACATCAGCTTCTTAATCTCTTTTTATTAAAAATTTGATGGATTTATAGGCAAAAGAAATATATACGTACACCTCCTGTCTATGCCGTCTACTCCGATGGTTCTTTCAACAAAATTTGATGAGATTTACATGGAATTAATAAACAAACAAATTAAACAAAAAAAAAAAGAAAAAGATGGAAAGGGTTTATAAAATACATCAACGAATATTTTAACAGTTTTTTCTCATAAGCTAAATTTACGAAAATACTAATATTTATCAAACTAATGAATTGAAAAATAAATAACTAATCATATGAGCATATCACAAGCAATTAATATGAAGAGAAGAAGAACCTAAACTTGCTTATTAATTAGTAGTGCCATCGTATATTAACACTGGGCGTCTGGGTAAATATGTTACATTGATTTTAATTTTAGCAAATTAACTAACCTTTTAACTCTTTGATTCTAATAATTTAAATTGCTAATTAACATGGTTCTCCTACTTCACAATTTCAAAGGATTTCAAGCTTATTTGTATTATGGCTAGAACTCTAGAAGTGTTGTTATGTTTGTCGCATAGCGTGATGAATTTTCGGTTCAAATTTGAGAACAATTAGAACAAAAATCTTAGTTTAACTCATCTTTCTTCAGATGTTGAAAATAGGTTATAATAAGAACCTGTCCACTAAGTAGTTCAGAGATGTCTACACAAGGCCTCAACAAATGTGTTAGGCAAGAGAATTGCCATGCCATCACTTGGATTAGGAAATCCAAATAAAATATAACTGACCAATCATGACATTTTAGATTTATAAATCAACATTTTTAACAAATTGAAATTGATACCTGTACTAAGAACGCAAATGATATGTTCTCTTCATCTAACGTTAGATTCATTCACCTTCTGTTGCAGCGGATAAATAGACAAGACAGAACTCGAAGATCAATAATGGATCAAGAAGCTCTGTTTTGTTGCTAAAAACTCTTTGTTAAACAAGGAGAATTCGAAGACTTTGTCTAGGAAGAATCTCTTTCTTATTCAATTAAAAAAAAAACCAACTCTTAAAATAATAGCTAAAACAGGTATCTCAACCGACCTAATTAAAACTAGAAGTTTTACCGAGAAAAGGAAATTGTAATAAAGTCGACAAAATAACCAAAGAAAAAGGATAACTTGTAAAACACATAAAAGAGATAGAGATGTCGCTACATCACCTTCACCATAATTGGAAAATCGTTCAACTGTGACCCTTAATTTACAGTCTTACATTAGTTAACCAAGCTGATCAAACAGAACAATCGCGTATATATAAGCCTAGGTGAGAAGATTTATCATGGACTAAAAAGGTTTTGTAGCAGAAAGATAAAGGACAGATTCCGATCAAAACTCACAGATCCCATGACATTTGCATTCCTTTATTCTCAGATAAATTGATCGGTAGACAATAGCCAATTTGGTCTTTTACCTTGTACCCGTCTGAAGTTCTCATTGGAGACAGATAAGAAAACATGCCTCCCCATCGGGTCAATCTCCATCGATTCATTCCTTGGTTGGAATAATTGATTTTTTATCCCAGAAAATTCAGTGGGAATTTGGGTTGGTTTACTGAGCAGTAAATATTATGTCAAAATTAGGTCCGGTTCTCAAAAATGTTATGGATAAGTGGTGTTTTCTTGGTCTGTATTATTTAAAAGAAGACAATTGTTGCACTTGGTTTTCATCAGATTTTATTAGAGAAAACTCAGATCAAACCAAAAAAATAGACGACAACATTTCCACGAACAAATCCAACACATTTATTTTAATGCAGTGAGACTCCTAGCTTGATGGTGATAAAGAATGCTCTAAATCAATAGGCGTATAGAAGATGATGGTAATCTATGGTGAAAGGTTCGGAGGCTTGGAGAACGGATATCAATCTATACGAAAAGATTAAAAGAAGATCCCTCTTTTATTTATACTAGGAGAGAACCTACGCATACGCGCAGTCTTGTTTTAATTTATATTTTAAATAATATATTTTTAGAATTTATATTAAATTTTATGTTTACTATCAATGTTTTTGCATTTAAAATATTTATATTTTCTTCGATTTCTTTTTGATGATACATTATTTCTAATCTTTTCTACACTACTTGTGCCAAAAAATCTATTTTTTTCTCAAAATAATAAGACATTAAAAATTTACTATTTTAATTTTTGCATGAGAACGTAATAGTTCACTTAAAAATATACGTTGAATATCAGAAAAAAAATATTTATTTGTTCTTTGGTTTTCATATTCTTATTATTCTTGTAAATCTTACTTATATAATACTTGTTAAATTTTTCAATTTACCATTTTGAAAATTTTTGGCTATATATATTTTACTGATTCCATCTTTTTTTTAAAAAAAAATCATGTATGACATATTTATGTGGACACCCTTATTTTTACTATTATTTTTTAATAATTTTATCTTTTTAATTGTTTATTAAATATTTTTTTTGTTTTATAATTTTATTAGTTGGAGTTTTATATAAGATTATTTGAATTTTTTTAACTTATTCAGTCTCATAATTCTTTTTCATTTGCATTAAAATTAAATTATATTTTCAGTATGGAAATGAAATTTAAAACACTTGAAAAAAATAGAATGCATTTAAAAAGTTTTGTATATAATATTTATAAGTTTAATATTTTTAAATTAAATTTGAATATCATTCTAATTTAATACATATAAGTATTTACTTATGTTCTTTAAATGTATTTGCTATAAATTTAATTAATTAATTTTTATTAATATTGTAAATGGAGAGGTGTCACTCTCTCCACTGCTGATGTGTCACTCAGCTGGAGAGAGTTGATCTACTTTTATATATAAGATACATATATAGACTCATCTCAGTATTATAAATTGTTTTATCATCTGTTTTATAACATTCTTTTAATTTTAGTTTAATAATAAATAAAGTAGTTGATTACCTGCACCATGTGTAGGATAAATATTAATCATAATTCTTTTATTCGAATATGCAAATATATTATATATAACTACAGTTATAAAAATATTAGCTGATATTTATAATTACAAATATATATGATGATTATGCAGTTATAAATAATTATCAAAGTTATATTTATTTTATAATATAATTGCATAAATGCTAGATAATTATTGATTTATAATTAATTTTAGTAGTATTTTTTATATGAAAAAATTACACATTAAATATACTAAATTAGATTAATATGTTCTATCTAACCGGTCTAACATCAGACTAAGATACTTTGTTTTGATATAAAAAAATGTGAATTATAATATGAATGAAAAAATTTAGATTTTATTATTATTAAATAGATAATATGATTATTTTTTAACAAAATTAAGATTAAAGAAAGTTAAGATAAGAAAATAATGTTTAGTAATATAAGTAATATTATATATTAAATTTTTATAAATATGTTGATAAGAAATAGAAAGAGAGATAATATCTTTACAAATTAAATGTTTGAGTATTAAATATATATTTAATATAAACTAATCTTTAACCAAATTTATGTTAATAGCATATGATGTAATTAATCTAGTAAATTAGTCTAATTTCAGAAAATCCTTGAAAAACTCTCTGTGATTAACACATCAGCATGAAAAAGTTGTTAATAACACATGATATAAATGTTCTTTTTTAAGTATCCTTCTCAAATAATAATAGAATATATATAAAAAGATCTCAGTCTTCTTTACTGTCTTGTTTCTTCAATCAAATCTTAAATTTTTGAGTTTCATCTGATTTTGGTGTTTTATTATTTTATTGTTGAACATTTTTCTTTGTCATATTAAACAATATTTTTAAACAAAATTAGCGGCGCAGGTTATCTACCTAGTAAAACTATAAAAGAATCAACATACAGTAAAAACTCTATAAATTAATAATGTTTGGACTTTGGTATTTTATTAATTTATAGAGTTATTAATTTATAGATTTCTAATAAAAATTTTTAAAAGAAAATTTTTTAAAAAATTTACTCTTTAAAACATTTTTTCTAAAATTAAAGATGAGTTACAAAAAAAATTAAATTTAAAATAAATAAAAAAAAATTTCACTAAACTCATATTTTAGTAGATTATCCCACATATATATTTATATTAAATTTTATTTATGATAATTATTAATTTATGATATTAATGAGACCATATATTTACATAGGAGTTTTGTTAAAAATATTATCTTATTATCTTATCGATTTGTATTAAATTTTGAACCAACCCAACTTTAGACCAGAAAATTTTATTAATTTATAGAGTTTATTAATTCATCGAGTATTAATTTATAGAGTTTCTACGATAGATTGTGTTATCTATTCACAAGACCACAATGTATCCTCCGATTTTCCTGTGTTTATAAAAGTTCTTACTTTACAACTTCATCTGCATGGCTTTGGAGAAGAAACTATCAATATTCTGTAGTTTTAATATGACAAATCTTGTGTTGTACAATATTCAGATGGAACTTAATGTGATTTTGAAATCCATATTATCAAAGGTCTCAGAACCATAATGAGGATCAAGATCATTGTCGAATGAAGAAGAAGAATATAATTAGTGACAAGGTTTATGGTTTATATATGATGGAACAATAATGCTTCTTTTGTTTCAAATAATCAAAAATCATTCCACAATGCATCAGTGCATCAAATAATCAGTATCTACAGTAGTTTATGTTTGATGCAATATGTTCGATGTTTCAAATCAAATGGTTAAAACGTTTGGAAGAGAAAGAGCAAGTATATATATACAGAAGGAATCAAAGTAAATGATTCACCAAAACACGCTTTACTCTTCAAACTCACTCATCTCACATACATCATTCTCCACAACTATACAGCTGAAGAATATCACTCAGTCACACTGAACACTCTTTTCACCTCTATAGTTTGCCAATATCAGGAACTGTCACAAATTAATTTTAGATCGTAGCCGAGAGGGAGAATCCTCGAGGAGTTAATTGTGTCTTCAAAGCACTGGGCCACGACACTGAACCTTTTAGTTACTTCGGTGTTAGCTTTTAGCGGTTTAGCAGCCTGGCAGAGAGCTCGCCGACGCAAAGTGAGAGAGAGAGCTGCGCGAGTCATTTACCTGAAGTGAATGCTCGCGCTGGCTTAACAACGACCCAACAACCAAGCTTCCTGATGCAATTCCGGGGCTAAGTGTGTGCGAGTATCTTGACCGGACAAAGGGAGGTGAGTTGTAAGATCTTTGGGAAACGGTATTCCTGAGATCAACTGAACTCCGACTAACCGGAATAGGCGGGGAACCCCGGTATGACCCATTTTGGAAGCTTGTATGGGAGCGAGAGTGAGAGAGATACATAGGGACTGTGTGTGGCTGCATTGTGGACGATGAGGGACACTGTTGTATGATAGATATTGGTAGATCATAAGATGACTGCAAAGGTGTTGTGGAAGGTGATGATAAGAGAAAAGATGATGTTGGTGTGAAGCTAGGAGAAAGCAAAGGTGTGTGCTCTGATGCAGGCGTATCGATGCTTATGGTTCTTGCATCGCGTTTGCAAACCGGACAAAAGGATCTCCTTTGGCCAAGCCATAAGTCAACACATCCAACATGAAATTCTACCAAAGACAACAACAACAACAACAAATTAAGATTGTTCAAGCAGGAACAGTTCTTTTTACTTTGAAATAAGTCAAAGTACTTACTGTGATTACAAGGTAGGATCCTTAGCTTGTCTCCAATGCGATAGTCTTCAATACATATAGCGCAAGAGATAGAAGTAGATGCTCCTTCGCAAACACCGTTAAATATTGTAGTAGGCATGCTTCTTAGTGAGTTTATGCCCATACGAGGATAGTCTCTGCCACTAAGAGACCGAATTCGCCGGCGCCTAACTCGATGCCTACGGACAAAGAAGCAAGTGGCGAGAACAGCTGACATGGCGAGGAGAGATATGAAAGAGATAGCCATGATTGACCAGGCCGAAGTCTCGAAGCTTGGTACGAGCCAAAGTTCCATATCGGTACGACCCACATACTTTTTGAGTAGTTCCCCTGTTGCTTTCGAGACAAACGTCCCATAAATAAGTACACCAGAGGGATTCCCTGCCACTACATTATGTTCACAAGATCATCAGCCATCTATATTATGATATGTTTGAAACAGAACCAAAAACTATGACCATGGACACTATGTAGGTCTTGCTCAATCCATGGACACTATGAACAGATTCTTCCCTCTAGTTTCATCACATTCCTAACTTTCTTTCATCAAGTAATGTATTATAACACATCTACACTGAAACCAACCGATCCTCTAATTTAATCACATTCCTAGATATCTTTAATCAAGTATAACACATCTAGTCTGAAACCAACCGATCCCACATAGCAAATCAAAACAAGAAACGATACAAAGATCATAACGAAAAAGGCTAAGGGAGATGTGTATTACTTGAAACTAAGAAGCCATAATCTTCATTGTCATAGACAATAGCAGCTTTGTATCCAGCACTCTGAGCATTTCTAATTTTCTCTTCGAAACTACAGCCACCGCGGATGATCAACACATACGGAGGAGAAACCATTGATCCTTCTTCCACAGTCACCGAGTTAACCAAATCCGAGCAAGCATCGAGTGGCTCTGCTACGTACAACACTCCACACTGATCCGATTTCTTAATCAACGGTGCTGAACAAAATAAAAAAAACATGATGAAGCTTATCTTAATACAGTCACTAAATATCATTAAGACCCAATCTCGAACCAAAATCAAAACACGAATTAGCAACAAAATTTTCCAACTTTCCTACATGCGATCCAAACCCTAATCCAAAATTGTTTTGCCAGACTTCATCAAAAACTTTGAATTTATACAGTGATCCAGAGAAAAACGAGAAACCCGATATAAATGGAATCGATGGAAGTAACTAGAAGTGAGGAACCTTACTGAAATTGGCTTGGATATCGTCGAATGAGAGAGATGTGTTCTTCCCGATCAACATAACTTTCGAAGAAGCCATATGCGAAATTAGCAGAAGAGATAAGATTACAATCGAAGCGCGACTCATGTTACCTTACGCTATCAAACTTATATAGCAAGGAAAAATTTGGCAAGAGAAACGACGAATCGGAAGAAGAAATTGAAAAGGAATTTAGGGTTTTGATTATGGAAGAAACACTTGAGCTTCCATAGAGGCGAGGTAAGACCAGTACTCGCTGCCAATATCTGAATTGTTCAGAATCTTTTTTTTGGTAACAGTTATTAGGGAAATATTTCGGAAATTAACCCAAAATATCCGTGTTTTACAACAAAAGGTCCTAAACTATGCTATTCTCGAAATTAAACCCTGCTGATTGCCCAAAAAAAAAGGATATGATGATGATTATGTAGGAACGACTAATTCATGTGTCTTATGGAATGGGTTGTGGTTTTGATTTGTACATCTGTCATGACCAGACCAGACCAAGAAGGTAGAGCCGGAGCTGTTCAAGAACAAGGAGCCAAGGAGTCAAAAGAGGAAAATGAGATTAAGAAGATTAGAGATGTCAAACGGGCTAATCCGCGTCCAAATTGCCCGATTTGATGCGGGTTTAAATTTTTTTAGGTCTGGTGAGCCATCATAAGCTGCGATTCCAAATTGATGTGTCCAAGTCCGACCCGCTTATACTCTACGGGTTTACAGACTGGCTCGCGGGTTCATACTTTCTTCTTCATCTTAAAGTTTTTATGACATTTAGACTTATAGAACTAGAAAATCTGCAAGAGGAGAATAAAGTTTTGCTCGTAACTGAATCACAATATGCATAAAAACAAAACTAAAGAAATTTTTTTGTCTAAGTAAATTCGATGAACAAATAAACGAATTCGATAAACCTCTTATACAAAACTCCTAGTCCTAGGATGCTATAAGATTTGAAAAATCAATTTAACGTAAGAATAGACACTTAGTTTTGAAAAACAAATAAATGAATTACAAATAATGATACACATCAAATCTGGTAATTTAAGGTAGAGAACCATCAAGATACAAGCAACAAGACATTGACATATAAAATCAAAAAAAAAAATAGAAATTAGATGAACAAAGCTTATTTGTTAGTCCAGCGTACAAACAAATATGATTCTCAAGCAAAACTATTTATTGTCAATACAAGATTTAAGCGATTCTAAATTACCTTTGCATCACTGCGGACAAAATAAAAATTACGTCCGTGATATAGCCGATGAGCAAAACCAACAAAAAAAGAAGCAAACTTATGACATCAAACTAAAATTAAAACCCTAAAAAAAACTAGTTTTTGGCTGGGAAGACAACGACCAGATTTTCTCCCAAATTCAAAAATCCAATCATAGAATCTGAATCAAATCGAATATAAAACACATACCAGTTTGATGATTCCTTGATCTCATTGAAATGAAGCTATCACAAAGCCCAATAGCTGAATTGTGTGACTCCATTAGGCTTCAATTCACTCCATGAAACTACTACTTCGAACTCCACCAATCAAAGATGACAAAATACTTCACTTTTTGATCTTTACAAGAAAACATCAAATTCTGCGGGTTGGACCGCAAACCCGTGGATCCGCTTTCACCCGACCCGTAAAAACCCAACTTCCACGCGGGTTTGGACCGCGAAACCCGCTTTTTATTTGGACAAATTTTATAGAGCCCAAACCCGCACCGCTGCGGTTCTACTTGGGTCAAACCTGCGGGCCAGAGCCCAATTTGACACCTCTAAAGAATATATTATGATTATGGAATCGTGTGTCTTATTGAATGAGTAACCTCTGAATATATACAGAGAGTACAAACGATATTAAGGAAAAAAAAATATACATCCTAATTAAGAGATACTGAATATGTGCAATCTAAGATATATACAACAGCTATATTCCTACACACCCCCTCAAGACAGACGGGGAGAAGAGAGTCTGATTTTGATCGAGAGAGATTCAAATCGTGCTCTTGATAACGGCTTTGTAAGTACATCGGCCAATTGATCAGTAGAGGAAACATAAGAGACTCGAAGCTGGCTTGCTTGAATATAGTTACGGACGAAATGATAATCCAGAGCCAAATGAATCATTCTCGAATGGAAGACAGGGTTGGCTGCAAGATATGTTGCCCCAATGTTATCACAATATATCACCGGAGGAGAAGGTGAGGTAGCTCCAAGTTCGGATAAGAGAGACTGAACTCAAATCACTTCAGATGTTGTGGATGCCACTGAGCGGTACTCAGCTTCGGTGGAGGATCTCGCAACGCCAGTTTGTTTCTTCGACGACCATGCTATAGGATGAAAACCGAGATAGACTATGTACGCTCTGGTTGACTTGTAATCATCTTTGTTGCCAGTCCAATCCGCGTCGGTGAAAGCATGAAGTGTTGGAGTGTTGTTAGTGAGAAGAAATATTCCTTTCGTCATTGTTCCCGCAAGGTAACGGAGAATACTTTTGACTGCAGTTCAGTGATCTGTCGTTGGCTTGTGCATGTATTGAGACAATTTATTAACTGGGAACGAGATGTCAGGCCTTGTGAGTGAAAGGTATTGCAAGCTTCCTACAACAGTACGATATTCTGTGGGATCTTCCAAAGCTGTTCCTGAAGTCAATATAATAGAGGAGTTCAGACACATTGGCGTCGTCACCGTCTTGCAATTTTCCATCTTTGTACGATGTAACAGATCTGCAATATAACGAGTTTGAGCTAAATGAATATCATTAGCATTTCGATGAACTTCAATCCCTAATAAGAAAGATAGATCATCTAAATCTTTTAAAGAAAACTGCTGTGAGAGAGAAGTAATAAACTGATTTGTATGAGAAACATTATTGCCAGTGATAGTTAAATTGTCAACGTAAACTAGCATATAAATTTAAACTCCCTGTTTGTTGTATATGAATAATGATGCATCTGCCAGAGAATTTTTGAATCCGGATTGCAGGAGAAAATTGCGTAGTTCATTGTACCAAGCTCTTGGAGCTTGTTTTAAATCGTAAATAGCTTTCCACAATCGGCACACCGCTTGAGGATTTTCTTTGTCGATGAATCCTGGTGGCTGCATCATATATACTTGATCATCAAGTGTTCTTTGAAGGAATGCATTGTTGATGTCAAGTTGACGTATCAGCCAATTGTTCGTAACGGATACGCTGAGAACCGTCCATATTGTGGCAGGTTTTATGACAGGACTCGTATCATGATAGTCAACCCCTGGTCTTTGTGTAAATCCTCTTGCGACTAGACGAGCTTTGTATCGTGCAATCGTTCCATCCGGATGCCGTTTGATCATAAATATCCATTTGCAACCTACAACATTAAAATGAGAATCATTAGGCAAGTTCTCAAGATCCCACGTTCTGTGTCCTATTTGAGCATTATATTCTTCACTCATTGCGAATGGTGGGTTAGGAGCCGACAGAGTTGTTGTGGTGGGTTAGGAGCCGACAGAGTTGTTGTGGTTTGAGTTTCTGATGGTGTTTCTGTAGTCGCTGGTGGAGCTACTGATGTAGTGACTTGAGACTGAGATGAATGAGGCAGGAGCTGAGGAGCACTATTCGAAGGAAGAGTAGTAGTTGAACTTGTATCCGGAACTACTTCCGCTGTCACTCGAACTGGTGGTGGTTGTCCAAAACCTGTAGGTGAAAGAAAAGTAGGAACAACTGAGACTATGGGATGTGAAGCAATGTCAGATTCAGACGATAATTGTGTTTCTAAATTTGATAGAATAGAAAACGGAAAAACTGACTCATGAAACACAACATATCTCGATGTATAAATTCTAGATGTAGCACAATCCAAACAAAAATAGGCACTTTGTGAAGGCGAATATCCAAGAAAAACACAAGGTGTTGATCTCACATCTAATTTATTTGATGCATAAGGATGAAACCACAGAAAACACAAACAGCCAAATATTTTTCATTTATAAAAATTTGGACTATGTCCATGACGACGTTGAAATGGATTTTGATATTCAATAACTTGAGATGGCATTCTATTAATCAAATAAACAGCCGTTGCAAACGCATAGGTCCAATAAGACCTTGGCATGAACGCATGAGAAAGTAGGGCAAGCCCCGTATCTACAATATGTCGATAACGACGTTATGCGATGCCATTATGTTCTAGCGTATGCGGCGGGCTTGTCATATGTGGAATGTCATGCAAAGAAATAAAATTTTGTAAACCAATGTATTCACCCCCATTATCCATATATAAAGTTCTAAGCTTGGATTGAAATCTGTTTTCAACCAATGCTGTTGAACCGGGTAAATATCTCATATACGTGAGATTTTAATTTTAATGGATACAACCAAGTGTATCTGGTATAATGATCTACAAAAATAACATAATATTTGAAACCATCAACTGAATGAACCGGTGATGTCCAAACATCAGAAAAAATAATATCAAGAGGGTGATGAGATTGTAAAGAAGGATGTTGAAAACGTAACTTATGCATTTTATTAATCGAGCAATCATTGCAAGGCTGAGCCATTAAAGCGTTTGAAGCAACAGGTAACTGAAATTGAGAAACAACTTTTTGAAGGATTTGAAAAGCAGGATGCCCCAAGCATGAATGCCAATCAGTTAAGCTTTTTTTCACGGCTGAGGCATAAGCAAAAGAAGGAGATTTTGCTGATATTGATTTCAGCCACTCATGCATCCCATCTTTAGGTTTCCCCTCGAGACAAAGAGCTGCCGTTTGCAAATCTCATACGTTGGAATAAAGGTATCAGCAACCCTATTATCAGTACATAGTTGAAAACAGAGATTAAATTCTTTTCAATAGCTGGAACACATTAAACATTATTGAGAAAGAATGGACAAGTATAAGAGGGTAAGGATAAAGAACCAGAGTGTGAGATCTACAAACCAGAACCATTACCAAGCAGAACACCATCACCACCATCGTATGGGTTATGCATGGAGAGATTAGCTAAATCAGATGTTATATGGTGAGATGCTCCCGAGTCAACAAACCATGTTGAGGAGTCAGACATCATGGCTGGGTTGGCGCGTGGCTGCCATGATTGCGGAGATGGAGAGACACTCCATTGTTGTGGATTTCGCATCTGAGATGGTTGAGAAGGAGATGCACCAGATCCACAAACAATTCGGAACTCAGGGCAGTATTTGGCACTATGTGTCTGTGTTCCACAAGCTTGACAGCGACTCAAGTACGGACGAAAAAAAGATGTTGACCTTGCTGTTGATTGTTGTTACGTGGTTGATTGTTT